GCCAATGTTTCACGTCTGTTAACGTTCTGCGTTTTGCCTAGAGCACAGGTGTTCAACATTTAGGCATACAGGCAACGTCGAAAGATATAATGTGCGAAGACAGCCTGAGCATTCAAATATATGTACCGTAACCAACACAAAACCCTATTTTTATCAGAAGGACGAGCGGAAATTGCCTGAGAACCTTTTACGAATAAGTTTCTCGTCGAAATCTCCGGGGTATCGTGTTCATAGCGGCCACGTCTAAGAAAATGAACTGTACTGAACGGATAAAAAAAGATTCAGAAGATTTTTAATCGTCACAGAAATGATTCGCCATGTTTCAGATGACCCGTACTACTGCGGGCTGCGGGCTAGAGTCCCAAATTTCGTCAAGTCCACCAAGTCAAAGGACACCGCAGGCCGCTACCCACCCAGCAGCGCCATCTCTCAGCCGTCCAGCATGATGCACCATTTGCACCAATACCATCAGCAGCACCACCCAGTCATGTGGCATGCCCGGAGTATTGATAGCGGCATGGGTGTGTATGGTCATTTGACAAGGCTCTTAGACCAGCGTTGATTAAGGAGCACGCATCTCTGTGAATGGGGTACTTTGCACTGAATTACCACCGGTGTCAGTTGTCTTTTCAAGGCTCTCTCTGAATCAAGAGTATAAAGGTGTACTCCAGTGGAGTGCACAGTATTTAAAACCTTCTTCGTGGTTATGAGTATCACACTGGCCCCGAAGTTCATTTATTGCAGATAAACGTCTACTCAGAAACGCACTAGATACCTCATTAGTCAGACTCAGGAAGAATGTTATCCATGTAATTTCGCTAAAAATTGCCCGTGTTAATCAATCATTCGAACAGAACCTAGTCGCCATTAATGACAAATATATTTTCAAATACCAATTTCAAGTACGGCAAGATATGAAGTTAAATTTAAGTCTCACGTAAAGTAGGCTACCGATATACGAACCAAAATTCGCACTCAGACTTTAAACATTACACAATCCTAATGCGAAATTTAATATAAATAATTTCATTAATAAATTATTCGGTTTTGGTCCGCCTAATCACAATTCAAATTTAAAATTTTTAAATTTACAATTAAGATAATTAAAATATCATTTGATGTTCCTCATGAGGAACCGAATAATTATTTAATATATGGTATCACAATATGACGCAACTCTATCATCTTATAAATACTTTCATTACTTTTTGAACATAAAACTGAAGGCCGGACAAAATCTCCTCACGTAATGATGTGTAGTGGTTCACACCGACTTATAAATAAGGTCCAATATCAAATGTCTGTGAACTTGATGATAACATTTAGGTTAGATGAAGGTGCATCAATACAAGACAGGTAATTTCTTGACGATCAATAATTCAATCTACTTCGTGGAATTTATAAACGGATTTTGAGCCTTGAAAATTTAACTGTTTAGTTCTAAATACTGTCTCTGCGTGTGTGTGTGTGTGTGTAATTGATTTGCTGTACGGCATGTTGTGTTCGCATAATAGCACGTAATATTCTGAACTGATCCATGTTTATAACTTTCTTCTACAACTCTCATTCTCACGTAAAACACAATTTCTTTCCTATGGTCTTAACTGTTGGTTATGGTGTACAATTTCTTTTTTATCTTTTAATTTTTTAACGTCTGCTGACGTTTAACCGCATTTGTGTCCGGTGTAGAAAGAACCTTTAATTCCGTTGAAATCCTTGCACGATAATTGCACGGTGGCAGAGAATAGTAATTATTTTAAATGTTTAATTATACGCTGTGTACATATGAAAATGTGGTTGCCGTAAATGCAAGTGAATTAATGTAATGGCATTATACTGCTATACTGAATAGAAAGAGAACTGAGGATATTAAATAACAATTTATCGAGTCTTAGGTTACGTAACAACGCTTATTCAACCACACTAGTTATTTACAGTCGAAGGAAATGTTATGATTATAAATCGTCAAATAGAAAGTGTGTTTGAAAAAGGGTTTATGGACTATTTTAAGATACTATTCCAGCATTTACCTGGAAAGAATGAGGAAAACCACGAAAATCATCATTCATGATACCTTGTTTTTAGGTCGATATTCGAACCAGGAATCTCCGGAATGCGAAGATGATGATGTCAAGATACGTAGGTCACTCCGTTCCGCAGTTTTGCAGAGAAATCTATCGGAAAACGGTAAATTTGAACGCTGACATGAGACGGGAAACGAACATGGATCCTAGTGAAATAGGGTGTAAGATGCGACATGGATGAAAGTGGATCAAAATCGTGTGTCTGATGAAGTGTTTAACTTCCGTTTTCAACCGCCAGAATTAGTGCACTGTTTTTAGATCCTGACTGTACATTTTAATTTTCGCCTAAATGTTTCTTTCGGTATAGGGTTATTTTCCTTTCCACGTCTTACACTGATATTTAGTAAGGGGAAACTTAAATTCAGAGCTTTTTTTTTAGCAAACTGTAAGAAATTTATCTTAAAAATATGAAAACTTTACTTCATACATATAATTATCAATACAGTTTCCGCTCATCACAGGGTTAAATTGCTATATGCCGGCACACGTATGCTGTGTGGAATCTCTGATTAATCTGCAAAATGATTCAGACTGTGAATTTCTAAACAATCGAATCCGAATGACGATATGTCCTTCTACGTGTTCGGTTAAGTGGTGATGTCCAATCTTGACCCGGACGCCAATCAAACGCTTTCCTCAGTATTTCCAGGCAAAGCCGGCATAGTACCTTCAGAGAGAGGTCATGATCGTCTCCTTCCAAATCCCTGCAAACTGACATTGGGGCCGTGTAGACCTGACGGCAGATTCCAATACCCAGGAGAACAGCATCATGACCTACTCATTATAATTTTCCCGTCTCATTAGAGTGACAAGTAACTCAAGATTTAATCGTAAAATTTAAATATAACTGATCTCTTGAGGCTAAAAGAGAACTTTATTATTCCAATTTAATTCATGAACATCCCAGTAAATGCAAACGTTAACAGATTTTGTTATTGCAGATGCTGAGGCGCTGGAATCCCCTTACAATCACATATATGGCCGCCTACCTATTCCTACCAGAGGGTACATCCCACCTACGCCACGCACAATGTACGTCGGAGAATGGGATTAAATGAATGTTAAAACCTCGAAGAAGACGATGTCTAAATTAGCACATTTTGTGAATGAAAATTGCAATTGTGATTTCTCTTTATTATTATTATTAATTGTAAATTGTAAGGCGAGAGCCTTTGTTTATGTAACGTGAAAATTGTCTTAACCACTTACATTCGCGTATGGAAATGTAAAACATAATCAGAACTCTGAGACCAAAATTAATTTAAGTTAAAATCCCTCATTAATAGTTTATTCGTATCAACACATATCCATTAGCACTATCAGGTTTAATATTACGAACATCATTTGAGAGTTGTGTTATCCCTACCACGTCAATATAATACTTTTGTTTATATTTCGTACAGTAACAACTTACTGAATATGGTCCATTTTATCGACTTTTTCGTTTACATATGTGATACTATTATGACGGTTTAATCTATATTTATAATGTATTTTAAATGTTTTAAACCAATTAAATGTCCTTTGATCTTTCATTTTGTATATAAATTCTGCTATTTCAGGTAAAATTAGAAGGCGATTACAGTTCATATCACAGTGCAAGCTTCTTAATTTGTTTTAGATATATCACCATTAAAATATTTCTACCCATTGTAGAAATATTAGAATGTAACAATTATATTGTACCCGGTACTCAAATTTCTTATGTTAAATTATCTTAACCCTTTCTACGCTATGTACGACATATCATACTCCAAAACAATGATAATCTGCTATAAATAAATTAAACGTTCATTATTATATATCTGCAGCCATGTCTCCGACAATTCAAGCTACATATTTCGGTCGTTTTATAACAGGAAATGACATCTAAGTTTACCATTGTTATATACAAACAATAGGCGGAATTTTGATGTCAATGACAAGGGTTAAAGGACGCAACGCAAAACTTGAGTTTAAGAATACAATTCTCTAAGATTTAATACTGTATTTTCCCTGCGTGCAATAACATTTCGTATTTTACCACAGAAACTTCTATTAATTACAATAATTCAATGTCTTCCTCGTGGAAGGAAATGTAAAAGTGCGAATGCAGAACTTGTATGTTATAAATGAGTGGTTGTGTTCTATATTAAATGTGTAACTGACAGTTAAGTGATTACGTGTGATGCAACTGTACAAATAAATGGAGTGGATTCCAAGGACGAAATACAAATACCAAAATATATTGAGATTTGTCCGACACTTAAAGGGGAGACTTAACAACAAAGTCTTGGACATATCTCAGTAGTCTCACAAGAATGTTGAAAGTGATATTTCAGATACGGATGCCTTCAGAAATTTCGTCACCTTATTCCTGGACAGTATGTAGATAAATCTCCGGATAACTTATTTAACAAACATGTTGTAACAAAGTCTTGCACATTTTAATAGCTTATCACTGATTGGTACAAATCAGAACTTGGATGTACGTATATTAAAATTACAGGACTAAATGTACTGAGTTTATAACCCCTTCTGTGTCAATTAAACTAATGAAAGATGAGACAAACTTCGTAGTTGCAACGTAGTCGATGTTCTTAGGATAACTTTTTAGTAATATTAATTTATAAACACGTGAAGTGATTGAACATAAATACGCGTAATTTTGCTGTACCAGTATTTTCTGCAACCTTGAATACCAAGGTAAGTCCTGGTTTAGAATTTTTATCAATCGTTTCACGGGCTGTAGCACACGTAATTGCATCAGGTAACCACTCCCATCTTTTTGTTACAAAAGCAATGTATTAACAAATCCATTCATTTATACGTGTTTCACTATACCTTTCTAATAATATGGACTTAAATTATAATCGCATTCACTTCAATCACAGTTAAAATATTTCATCTGTTGCTTTCCAATCCATTTTTTTTATCAATCTTCAATAAATCTTTTGATCTGTTCCCCACTTATGCAGCCCGTCACTGATTGTTAAACCAGTTGCATTCTTTCCAAACGATGGCTTAATCAGCAGAGCTGGAAAATTAAAATCTTCGCACACATATTTCTCTTCTTAATTTTTTCTTGTTTCAACGAATACATACAGAAGTGAGTTACTCCATCGATGGTGATCTTCTGAGCTCTGAAGCCATGTGGACTTGTGGGTGGATACCAGCGATTTGGAGGAATATACCGCTTCCATCTTCAAGGCTAAATATGAAGGCAGTATGTTCCTCTGAAATTTTACCAGCTACCTACGAGTCAACACGGCGAAAGAAAACCCAGAAAACCAAAATCTTCACAGCCGTGAAAATCAACCTCAAGTCTCACTTAGTTAAGTCCTTTTAACACATAATCCTTCATTTACAAATTAAAGGATATCCTGTAATATGCTACTGAAAAATAGATTCTCATTATTTTCCTGCGGGGAGTGGTCTAAGGATGGTTAACACAGAAAGATAATTACTCCATTAGTGGCGTGTGTTATTACATGTCTCAGGTTATTCATTAATTGACACTACACCAGAGTACAACGTTACCTCTCTTTATGATAAATTAATGATAGCAATCGTCAGTTAAAAAAATACCTAAGTGAAAGCTAATCAATTACAAGAAAAAGGAAATGTATCTACATTACGAACCAGTGATTTTTGGTGGCATGCTCACTGAATTTCTGAACGCACAATGGTAAGAGACTTTCCTACTCGGTACAATCCTGCCTGCTGATTGCACTTACCAGTTAAATCAATTTGCAGAATCACGGAAGGTGTAAAGTATATCAGATACCAAGAGGACTCGTTAGTTCGTCGTGCGTGCGTGTCTGTGTGTATATGTGTGATTTTAAATATATTTAATGACTATCGAAAAGAGGTATAAACTCGTAGTAAATGTATTTTTTCTACTTTATAAGAACAGGCAATAAATTGGTGATGGAAATAAATCTGTGGTTTATTTTACATTGGTTCTCCCCATTTCTCCCATTATGTATTGAAAAAAATATATAAAAATATACACATATTTCTGTTAGAAGACTGCAAGGGACGACAAATCGCAGGATTCTTACGCGTAGCTGTGAGTACAATACGCAAATGGGTGTTAAAGAACGTGTTAATGTGGGAACCTGAATTATATTAGCTCAGAATGGTCAACAGCAGGCCTTTGTAACAAAAGTAAGATATATCAGTGCATGTTTTGAAAAGCGATTAGGATATAATTTACAAGCTCAAGCCTTGAGCACTTACTAACTGCACAGGAAGCGACTTCAAATACAACTAATTCCGGGGCGAAGAGGGAGAGCTGTGTAATTAGACCATGAGAAACGGAAACAGAACACTCGTCAGCTTGTATATATGATTTATTATGTTGCACACCAGCCACAGTGTGTTCAAAAATACGAGTATCGCCTATTGTTAAGCCATTCCAATATCGGAGTCCTCGATTCGAATCCTTATCGAGATACAGCCGTTTATCCATAATTATCTAAAGCAGCGAAAATATAGCGATTTTTTCTTCAGGAAAGGTAAGTCTACGACAAGCTTTGCACATAAATGACAAAGAAAATTATCACAGTGTTTCCTGGCGTTTTGTTTTACAGATCAGAGGACCTGTCTCACAGTGAGAAGTAGAAATAAGTGTATTTATTATTCGCGTGTCAAAACATGTTTCTTTAAATACAATGAAGTCAGCTATTTTACGTGTTATTAAACTCAAAGAGACGCCATCGCTAACTCTGAATATTATAATTAGAAAATGATTACAAGGTCATATGAAATAATTCGAAGTTTTTGGATGCCTGCCTTCGACAATACAACGTAATGAAAACCAATATATTTAAACATGAAATATTTAGATTTTAAAACGGTGGTTGGGGAGACAAATGTATATAAAATGGTAGTTTTTAAAGCTGTCATGTGCCATCTTATCTTATGACGTTTACTGGAAAATGAAACAGAATGGTGTATCGCATAACAGGAAAAACCTGTCATGCATTGACTTTGTTTAAAAATTGTTCAGTACGAGTATATTTTGGTATTTGTACTGTTTAATCGCTGTGAAATACAGAGCAGCTGGTTGAAATTTGAAAGAGTAGCTGAAACAGCTTCTCCAAGTTCGCTTATATGTAAAGTTTTGTCATAACCGAGCACAAAAATTACCAACTTCCATATGAAGACAATGTAACTGTTATACATGCAATTCCAGGTTTAAACCTTTTAATCCAGAAACTTATAATGAGTTTTCTTTGAATCGCAGGTAATTCTTTTCCTATATTATTTTTAGAATTCCCGAAGGAAGACTTTATTCTGAGGAATCCTATTATCGAGCTATTGTTTCCGTCTTCCGACAGTTCAGAGTCTGATACAATCAGCGACAAATTTCCTGAAACTCAGTGCTGACACAATACCACCGAACGTTGCAGCTAACTACGACTCCTGATTAGTATTTGGATGGTTAAGGTTCGATTCCCAGACTGAGGATCGATTATCCTGACTGAGGATTATCGTGATTTGTCATTCCTTCCACACACATACTGAGACAGAAAATTCGAAGATTCCATTCCTGCCATCCTTCACATTATTTCGAATTAACCAATAATATTAATCCTCCCACATAACTATATTACGTGTGCAGTTGTGGGAACGCTTAAACAAAGACCACAATGCCATTTGAATACACCGCATACCATTTATTTAAATCCTTGTTATCAACAATAAGATCTCGGAGGATTCTGAAATTTAATAATGTGATATATTCTTAAAATTTATGCAACGAAGGAAATTAAAAATATAAAGATAACGAACGACTTTTGAAAAACCGAGAAGAAACTGCAGTAGTACAATATTAAGATAAACTAATTATATAATTCCAAGCAGCCGAGTCCTTTTTAGAAGATAACAGAACGTTCAGCTTTCTACAAAAACTGTCGTTTCATTTATAAATTCACAAGAGGTCTTCTGCAATCATATCTCGAGCCAGATGAATCCAAACAACATCTTCTAACCCAGCCACTCTACGGTCCATATTATCATCACCCTCGCATATACGTCTCGGTTTTTCGAGTCACTTAACTGACCCAGGATCGTGTCCCGAGTCATGTTAGTTGATAAATGTTGAGTCATTTAAATTTTGTGCCTGAATATTACACAGTAGCTGTACTGTATAAATCTCTCGTTCGCACGTTCCGTCAAAATGGAGCGTTTCTTCTTATTTTGGCAACTAAGCGTCGTTTATGTGGAGGGAATAAAACTCGTCCCAACGTGACCAAAGTTAACGAATTCCCTGAATCCATGACAATCAAAAGGTCATCTAAGCGACTGAGAAATATTGTTGGGAACTGAATATACAATCAGAAGCTGTTGCGTACAAGTTAATGATGGCCGCTTGATGATTCACACTATTGGGTCACTGGCCGCGAGCAAAATTCCCTCCTAAAAGGAATTCTGATTCATATAAGGAAAAAATGGCACGGTAGTGTAATATAATACTGAAGCAGGTAACTAAGGAGACATTCATGAGAGTATAAATAAAAGCAGTAAATAAAGAATGAATCTTTGTAATAGGATGTGATCTAATCGAAATACCATCATGTAGTGAAGTCTTTGGTTCCCGGAATGAATGTATTGTTAGATATAATGGGTTATCCAGTTAGCCAGTGGTCGAGCAAGGACGCTAGAAGGCTGCAGAATAGTGAAAGATAAAAGTATGAAATTAGAAAAATAGAAAAAGCATAATCAATTCGTATGGCGACGTTTTTAGAAGGAAGAATGAAAACAATATCAAAAGCTTTAGAAAATATTAGTGCAACTAATACTTGGGGTCCATATACATTTGGTAATGTAAAGACGGTTAGTCTGCAATTTACCGAACGAATTAAATTTTGGCTCTGGCCGGACAAATACACACCAAACTCTGCATGATTCTCAAATCGAAATGTTATCGATTTTCTCAGGAACTATGTTGATGTGGTTAATATTCAACGAAATACAAGGGAAAATATTTCTGACTATGCAGTGTAAATTGCTAAGCAATAAGCATGAATTATCGAAACTACTGTGTCCTTTTTTCTATCTTTATTTTGTTTATAAAAACAAATAATTACGCACTTTACTCTCAACTCATTACGATACTGATGGGCAACACGGCGCTGAAGTAGGTGTTCAGGTGGGACATGGACGAATATAATGTGACCTTAACGAAACAACGTACTGAAGAAGTCACATGAGCAGCGGGAGAAAGACGAATAAAAGTCTGGAAAATAGGCAGTAGTTCAAAGGTAAGACAAGGTAAATATGTAATGAAGTGGTAAGAGCTCTACACGTTCGTATCCTCTGTAATGGATGGAGGCGAGTGATAAATTCGATGCTCTGGCCGATTTACCCCTGGGTTGGCCACAGAATGGAAAACGCGGAGCACAATAAGAAGAGCATATAATCAGAAAAAGAGAACAACGAAAGGAGAGAATAGAAACGGCAAAAGCTGACGAAAAACGAAAAATAAATATAGGAATAAAGAAGAACAAAGGAATAGGAGTCCTGGAGACGTGTACAACTGAAGATGCATGGACTGGCGTGTAAACACTGCACCCGATGTGGTCCGCCCGCCTCAGTGCGACATGACTAAGCCAAGTCTCCCACACCGTGAAGCCCGTCGAGGCAATCAGGCGAACCGCCGGCCTCACAAGGTCGACCTGATGGAGTAGTACGTACGTGATGGGAAGATGCGGTCAGGCACATACATAATCAAGGAGTGAATGCTCTTCTGCCTCCAAACCGTGAAATATTTCTACACATTATTGTACGCACAACACAAAACGAGAAAGACAGAAGCCACAAATCCATGGTTTACCATCGCAATGGCAGTTCTAGAAGCAGGACATGAAATTGGAAAAGTTGCTACGTGTATGAGGTTTCTTGGGTCGATGCTGTGAGCACCTAATGTTTACAAGACTCGATCTTGGAAGCGTTGCTTTTCGATCCCTGCATTAAAAATGCGAACCAGAAAGGTTTATGTCTGAGAATTCACTAGACAGGATTTAGAGTATATTCTATCATCAGTTCAAGAATGAATATTTATACCCGAATGACTTCTATTAAAGTAAGCTATATGAATAACACGTATGTACGAGGTGCGATCGGAAAGTTTCCAGACTGCGCGTATAAAAAAAACCCGTACACTTATCTCAGGTATTAAATTCATCCATCACCCTCGAAGTAGTTCCCCTGGGAGTGAACACAACGATCCCAGCGCCGCTGCCAAGCGTGGAAGCATCCCTGGAAATCTTTCTTTGTCAGCCTGTCAAGCACCATCTGCGATTCTGCCTGAATCTCTTCTATCGTCTCAAATCTCCTTCCCTTAAGCTGAATTTTCATCTTTGGGAAGAGGAAGAAGTCACACGGAGCTTAGAAAGGAAGTTGGGGTCGGTTCTTGCAAGATCTTTGAGCTCCTGACAAACGAGAAGTCAAGTCGATTCTGCTTCTGGTCCTC